GTTTTTGGCCTTTATTGATTTGTAGGAGCTTTTTACATCTCAGAAAATTAGCCTTTTATTTAATCTTAAAGTTTTTTTCAAGTTTGTCATTAATTTTCTGTGGACAAAAAAGGGTCATCATGCTGACAGGGGAGGCCAGCATGGCAGGCGCTATACACTCAGAAACCAAATGTAAAAACATATGATGGTCTGAACATAAAAATTCCTAACTAAAAGTAGGTCTTTGACAAAGGTCAATCTTTACCTCAAATGAGCCTATTGTCAGAGTAATCTTCTTTTCCAGACCCCTCAAAGCAGAACCACCAGCACCAGAGCAGGAGAGCACAGAGGCCCTTATTGTTATCTTGTTGCCTGCATACCATCTCTATGTGCTATAAATGTTTACTATCCTGTACACCAATCTAAAAGAAGTATATGTCTCTCCATTTACTTTTTATCCAATCCCAGAGATTCCCCCTTTCTTTGCTAACTCCCACCCCCTTTATCTACTACCAATGGATTTCACGTAACCCTCCTTACCTTTCCTCCTTTTATTCTAATGTGTAAAATAAGCTGCAAAACTGCCATTCTTCAGAGCATTTTCTCCATCCGATGAGATTTTGCTTTAGGCAACTGTTGTCAGTTTGGCTCAAATAAATTCATAAAAATTCTCTACAGGTTTGGATGTTTCTTACATTGACATTTCTGACTATGTTTATGATGACTTTTGTGAGGCTGGAATATTTTTATGCATTAAAATTCATTGATATTTCTTTTGGGCTTCCGATTTGTCATTCCATAGTTAGAAAGGACTGTAGCAGACCAAAATCATAAAGAAATTTTCCCAGAATTTCTTCTAATACTTTTATGGTTTAATATTTTATGTTTAAACATTTGATGCATTTGGAATTTATCCTATTGTAAGGTGTGATGTATGGCTCAAACTTCTTTTTTCCTAAATGACTACTTAATTATCTCAATAATCTATGCTGAATAAACCATTTTTAAGATTAAACTACTGATTTTAAATGCCACTGTTATCAAAGATAAGAGCCATTATGTTTAAAGCAGGAGAATGCATAATCAAATTTACTTCTGTCTTAGGAAGAGCTTTTGATATTATCATTTCAACTATAGAGAATGTTTTATCATGGGGATAATCACTGAAAAAATAATAAGTCTTCCTTTCTATGTCTATTATAAAAATCTAGATTCACTCTTGCTCTGAATAATCACATCTGTGACAACTCTATGACAAAAGTAACTCTACTGTCCCCATTTTACAGACTAGGAAACGGAACCAGAGAGAAATAAAAATGTTTGCTCAAGATCACACAACTAGTCAGTAACTGAGTCCAAACTATTAACCATTATGATACAGGCCTACTTAAAGAAACATTAAATGATTGCAGTTATCACTGGGATATGTAAAGTCAAAATAACAAAGTTACCTCTGTTAAACAAAACCTTTTACATCAGAAAGTTTTTCTGAAAAAAAAAAAAAGGAGGGGGTGTTTATTGAGCCAAATGCTAGCCAGAAAAGGACAGGTCCTGGGACATGCAGTCTAAACCACCGGCCACAGGGCTGGATGGAAAAGGCAACACATCTGCTGTCCTAAGCTGACGGGCTCTTTTATATATTATGTTTTGGGGAAGAAAAATGTAAGTTGTTTTGAAAGAAATGGATACATTCCTAGAAACATACAATCTTCCAGAACGGGGTCAAGAATAAACAAAATCTGAACTGACTAATCACTACTAATAAAATTTAATCAGTAATCAAAAAACTCCCAAAAAACAAAAGTCCTGTACTGGGTGGCTTCACAGGTGAATTTTACCAAACAATCTTTTAGAAGGATTAATACCTATTCTCAAACTATTCCAAAAAATTAAAGAGGAAAGAAGTCTCCCAAGCTCATTCTATGAGGCCACCAATACCCTGATTCAAAAACCAGACAAAGACAATACAAAAAAGAAAAATTATAGGCTGATATCCCTAACAAACATAAATACAAAAATTCTCGTCTACAGCCATGCCACTCTGAACGTGCCCCATCTTGTCTGATCTTGGAAGCTAAGCAGGGTTGGACCTGGTTAGTACTTAGATGGAATACCACCTTGGAATACCAGGTACTGTAGGCATTTAAAAAAAGAAAAAATGTAGACATAAATACAAAAATTCTCTACAAAATATTAGCAAACCAAATTCATAAATACATTGAAAAGATCATACATCATGATCAAGTTGGATTTATTCCTGGGATGCAAGATTGGTTCAATATCCACAAATCAACTAATGTGACACACCACATTAACAAATTGAAGGATGAAAATCGTATGATTATATCGGTAGATGCAAAAATAAGTTTGACAAATCCAGCATCTATTTATGATAAAAACTCTCAGCAAAGTGGAAATAGAGGAAACATACCACAACATAATCAAAACCATATATGACAAACCCACAGCTAACATCATACTCAACGGGAAAAAGCTAAAAGCATTTTTCTTATGATCATGAACAAGACAAAAATGTCCATTTTCATCACTTTTATTCAACACAGTACTGGAAGTCCTAGCCAAAGCAATCAGAGAAGAAAAAGAAATAAAAGTCATCCAAACTGGAAAGGAAAAAGTAAAACTGTCATTATTTGCAGATGACATGATGCTGTATATGGAGAAACCTAAAGATTCCACCAAAAAACTGTTAGAACTGATAAATGAATCCAGTAAAGTAGCAGAATACAAAATTAATATTCAGAAGTCAGTTGCACTTCTATACAACAATAATGAACTATCAGAAAGAGAATTAAGAAAATAATCCCATTTACGATTGCATCAAAAAATACCTATGAATAAATTTAACCAAGGAAGTAAAAGACTCATACTTGGAAAATTATAAGTCATTGAGAAAGAAATTGAAAAAGATACAAATAAATGGAAAAAGATAAATAAATAGAAACACATGCCTTGCTCAGGGAGAGGAAGAATTAACATCGTTAAAATGTAAAAGCAAGAAGAACAAAGTTGGAGGCATCACACTGCCTATCAAACTATACTGCAAGGCTATAGCAATCAAACGGCATGGTACTGGCATAAACACAGACACACATAGTTCAATGGAACAGAACAGAGAGCCCAGAAGTGAATCCAGCGCCTATATGGTCATTTAATCTATGAAAAAGGAGGCAAGAATATAAAATGGGGTAAAGATAGTCTATTCAATAAATGGTGTTGGAAAACTGGACAGATACATGCAAAAATTAAACTGGACCACCTTCTTACCATATACAAGAATAAACTCAAAATGAATTAAAGACTTTTAAGTATAAGACCCGAAACCATAAAACTCCTAGAAAAAAATAGGCAGAAAACTCTCTGACATCGCTCTTAGCAGTATTTTTTCTGATATATCTCCTCAGGCATGGGAAACAAAATAAAAAATAAACAAATTAAATGTTTTTGCACAGCAAAGGAAACCATCAACAAAACAAAGACAACTTACCAAATAAGAGAAGATATTTGCCAATGATACATCTTATAAGGGGTTAATATCCAAAATTTATAAAGAATTCATACAACTCAACATGAAAAACAAAACAATCTAATTAAAACATGGACAGAGGACCTGAACAGGTATTTTTCCCAAGAGGACATTCTGATGGCCAACAGACATATGAAAAGATGCTCAAAGTCACAAGTCATCAGAGAAATGCAAATTAAAACCACGATGAGATAAAACCTCACACCTGTCAGAATGGCTATCATCAATAAATTAAAAAGTTCTGGCGAGGATGTGGAAAAAGGAAACCCTCAGGCACTGTTGGTGAAATTGCAGATTGGTACAGCCGCTATGAAAAAGTTTTGAAGTTCCTCAAAAAATTAAAAATGACCCAGGAATTTCACTTCTGGGTATTTATCTGAAGAAAAACAAAACACTAATTCAAAAATATATACCCCTATGTAAGTTTACTGAAGCACTATTTACGATAGCCAAGATACGGAAGCAACCTAAGCCCCCATCAATAGACAATTGGATAAAGAAGAGAAGAGGTACATATATACAACGAAATATTACTCACCATCAAAAAATAATGAAATCTTACCATTTGCAACATGGACCTAGAAGGTATTATGCTAAGTGAAAGAAGTCAGACAGACAAATACCATATGATTTCACTTATACATGAAATCTAAGGAACAAAATAAACGAACAAACAAAACAAATACAGACTTGTAGATACAGAGAACAAACAAGTAATTGCAAGATGGGAGGGAGGCATGGGGGGCTGGGAGAAAAAGCTGAAGAGATTAATAAATACAAATTGATAGTCATGAGGATGTGTAGTCAATAATATTGTCATAACTATGTATAGTGCCAGGTGGGTACTAGACTAATCAGGGGGATCACTTCATAAATTTTATAAATGTCTAATCACTATGCTGTATACCTGAAACTAATATAAAACAATATTGAATGTCAACTCTAACTGAAAAAAAATGTGGGTTCTGTGTAGTTGGTGAGTTGATGGTCTGTCCATCTATCCGCCTAGTTGGGAGTCTGGCTGGCTGGTTAGAGTGCTTGTGCATTCAAGGGTCCTTGTCTGGGAGTCCATCTAGCTAGTTGAGAGTCTGTCTGCCCACCTTGGGGTGGGTCTGGCTAGCTAAGAGGATGCCTGTGTGTCTGTTCAGCTGGGGATGTTTATATCTACCCGCGAGTGTGTCTCGTTAGGGATCTACCTGGCTGGCATCTTGCTACCTAGCTGAGGGGCAGGGATGTGAGGGGTTAATGGTCTGTCAGGTTGTTTGTTGGTTGGTCTGGCTGGAGATCCAGCCCTCCAGCCATGGAATGCCCCTCTGAAGGTCTGGCTATCTAAGGGTATGGCTATCTACCTGTTCAGGTTGGGGGTCTGTCTGCCTAACTGAAGATCTTTTTACTAGTCTGTCTGAAATTGTTACCAAACTCAAAAAAACCAGGAACTTGAGTGTCGATGTTATAGAAATGAACACTGAACTCAGAATAAATTTGAGCAGATAGTTTATTAGAGAGACTTGTGCACAAGGGAGCATGAAGGAGAAAAAATGCTCGCTAAAGGCTTTTTGTGACAAGATTATACAGGCTATCAAAAAGTGGAAAGGGGTTCAGGAATGAGGATGTGATGATTCCTGGTCCTATGATGTCTACCACGTAGTCATCAGTTTCAAGGTTGTCACAAGATGTTTTTTCCACAGTTAATGGTCCCTGCTGAGGCCCTGCAAAACAAAGGCTAATGCAAAAATGTCTGTTAGCCTTTGTATTTTAAATGACCAGTCCTAAATTGCAGACTTAAGATATTACTGGTTTCTTCCTCAGAGGCTGCGGGCACTGAGTTAAACCTCAACTGGCATGTCAGTAAGGAGGGAAGGGGTTCAGACCACAATTAAAAATGGAAAATGAAGTCTCAGTTTTAGATGAGATGGAACTTCCCTTCTTTTAGCTATTTTATAGTAACTCAAAATTAGCCTGCTTGGTTGTTGTCATGCCTAGCTTGGATCTATCTGAATGGTGGGGGAGTCCATGAGTCTTCCTCAGGGTCCATCTATCTCTCGGGTGTTAGCTGAATGTCTGAGATGAGCTAGTCTATTATGTGGTGATGGAGACAGTCTCCAGAAGTCCATCCTCCTCTTCACAAATGTGGGGTCTTTGGGGTTGGGCCCATTCCTGATGTTCATTCTTGAATCTGCTCAGTGCAGCCTCACCAGCCCTTATCTCCCAGCCACGTCCTCCAGCTTCAAGGCTTGAATGCTATAGTCGCTGGCACAAAACCCCCACATTTCCCACCCTGAGAAATTTTATTTGGATCCAGGCCCAGCATTCCCATTCCCAACACTTCACACAGCAGAGCATGGCGGTCAGCAGTTCAGGTGCCCACATGGAGAAGCAGACAGGCCGGGGGCGACGGGGGTAGCATTCACACACGGGTCCATTCGGCAGGGGGATCCCGCGGCCCTTTAGGCTTTCCAATGCGCAGGTTGAAGCCTGGGAGAGGAAGGGCACCGTGGGTCTCTTGAAGAAGCCAGGGTGTGGAGCGGTAGGCAACTCGAAGAAAGCCATTCCCGAGCCTCCAGGGTCTCCTGGTTCACTGCGGCCCCATTCACAGGACTCTGAGGGCGTAAATCCCATGCCACTATCCCTAAACCCTAAATTCCTGAGTCAGTCCAAGCTGCCGAATCCCAGAGACTGAGGCTTTGTCTAACTTACCTAGCCCTCCGGTCTGAGAACCATCGGCCACGTCTTCGTAGGCGCCAGGCCCAGCAGGGCTGGGGTCAACAGGAACTGCGGGCAAGAAACCGCAGCCCACGCATCAGCTCCGACTGCCAGTGGAGTGCCAGACCAGCCTAGGGCAGAGACCACCTCCAGGGTTGGAGAAGGCTGGCGCGCGGGGCCCAGCTCAGCGGGAGGGACGAGCACCGAGGGGCGCGGCCAGGTTGGAGATCTCCGCCCAGACCCAGGGCCGTAGGTTTGGCCCGGAACACTTCCGAGCATGGCCAGTAGCTGGCCTGCGGGGCCGAGGTCCAGCAGGATGGGGTCCTGAGGAGCAGGTGGGGGCCGGCCCTTCCCAGCCCCGCTCCCGGGGGCGGACCCACTCACCGCTGCCGGGCGGCGTCCCCCGCAAATCTTCCGCTGGCGCCTCCAGCCGCTGGGCGCGCGGCGTCACTTGGCTGTAGAGCGGCGCCTCTTCCGCGCCGCGAGTCCCAGAGCCCGACCTGGTTACCGCCGGGGCCCCTCGCTTCTGCACCACGGCGTATGTGTCGGCCATGGCGAGAGCCCGGGGCGCGGGCACGGAGATGCTCCTTCAGTTGGGGAGGCGGGGAGGAAGTGAAACCGCCGAGCGGAGGGAGGGCCGGGTGAGGAGCGCGCTAGGAGGGCAAACCACGGGCTTCCTTTCCGCCCCAGGCGGTGCACAGTTGCGGAAAGGGGCGGGGGGAGGGTCAGGGGAGAGAGGAAGGGGTCTCTGGGTAAGGGGCTCTCGTTTCCGTGTCCCCGGCGCCCGACAAGGGAGATAGATGAAGGATGGAAGGGGCCAGCCTGGCGGGGCAATGGGGCAGGGTTTGGTATTGAGGGGTGGTCATTTCTGCCTAACTGTTCATTGGAGAAAAGAATGAGGAAGTGGCATCTGAAGAGGAGGAAGGTATAGCCTCAAAATGGAGAGCCAGTCTCGAGGAGGTGTAATTTGTGCTGCAAAGGAGGGTTCAACTCTGTGTACGCAGCACTGGCCTGACAAGTGGGTAGCATCGAGAAATATTTGCTGAATTAATGAATGACCGGGGCAGCTAGGAAAGAGTTAACATAGGAAAGCAGGGCTAGTGTTAGAAGCCGACTTAGAGGCAAACAAGGGATGGGATCTCTGGGATTAAGGGTCGTTTTAGGGTGGGCTCCCACAGCTCAATTCAAAGAAAGAGCCAGTGAATATTTGGTGAATGGAACAAGGAAGGGGCAGGTGTTTCGAGGGTGAGAAAAGGATTGGCCTCCAAGCAGGAAAAATTGTAGAGAAGACTGAGGGGGCTGGAGCTGGGTACCTGAGGACCCCGCCAGGTGGGCGGGGCATGGCTGGAAGGGCCAGGGAAGTCCAGAGGGAGAGGGCATCCTCATAGAGTGGAACACAATTGTGGGAAAAGGCAGGAGGGGAAGGGCATCAGGCTTTAAGGAAACTAGCCAGGCTCCTGATGGAGATCACTGTGGGCTCTAAGGGGTAAGCTGAAGAGGGGACAGTCTGATAAGGGAGCAAGGAAGAGGTCAAAGGTAGATACAGTGAGTCAGTCCTTGCCTCCAAAAGGAGGCCAGGGGTAGGATGTGCAATGGTAGTGATCACAGACCTGTGCTCTGGGTCCTGATCTGAGGGTGTTGGTGGATGGAATAGTGGGAAGGGGGCCTTGGTATCTCCTTGAGGTTCTGAAAATGGAGGCTGGCATTTTGGAGTGCTAAGAAGAACATCTGAGCCACGGTGTGGTACAGGAACCTGTACTGCTCCTGGAGGGGGAAGAAGGGTCATCAAGAAGTGAAGACAAGAGAAAGAGGAATGTGTCCTTGGAAGGAGGAGTCTGAGCTCACACCTCTGTCTGCACAACTGCAGGCAGCTGCTTCCGCATCTCGACCACATTGAAGAGGCTGAAGTTAGGTGGGAACATCTGGGGCAGAGAGATGAGGCCCATGAGCAGGCCCTTGTGGGCAGGGGACTGCACTACAAAGGCACACACACGTGCCCTCTTCATACCTGGGTTAGGAGCAACAGTCTCACATAATCCACGGAACACAGGACACCTGTTTGCCCACAACCCGTGCTAGAATGTGAGGACCAGAGCAAGCTCAGGTAAAGCCTGCCCATAACTCCTTTTAAGTGGGCATTTGGGGTTCGGGAGCCCTGATGGTGGATCCCCTGTAGCACCTTTTGATTCCCAGAATCCCTAGATTATAATTTAGAAGGAAAAACTTTTTAATTGCTTACATTTGTTGAGTATCAACTCTGTGCTTACTCCCCAACAGGCAGTCTGCCGTCAATAAATGCTAACAATTTCAGTTGATGCAGTGAGAGCAAGTATGGCCTTAGGTTGCTCAAAATAGGCATGCAAACTGCAAAGAATGGCTCCAAGCCTCCATACTCCACTCCCAGTCCCCTTTGCCTCACCAGACTCCTATAAAGCCCATTTCCTAAACCTGCAGTGGACACAGAGGGGCCTGGGGCCAGATCCCTGGAGGTGATGGTCTTCCTCTACCATGGCAAGCACGTGGTCAGGATTGCTGGGTACACCTCTGTCTGACCAGTATATATTGTAGTTGGTACACAGAATGAGATTTCTGAAACAGGAAAAGTGGAGCAAAGAATTTAAAAAAGAAAGAAAAGCATTTATTGGGCACATATTAAATGTCAGGCCTGGTTCTAAACATCTTCCTTTTAAATGTAACAGATAGTAGCTGAGGAGATGGATACTACTGCTAATGTCCATGTTACAGATGAGAAAACAGACAGGAAATAGCTCTCCCCATGTAGAAGCCTCTTCCTTCCCTTCCAGTACCTTCTGGAAGGTGACCTGAAGGGTTCTGAGCATGATGTCTGCATTTAGCCAGGTCTCTCATCTGAGGATGTAGGGCAGGTGGGAAGAGGAAAGAGAACAAACATCACAAGTGCCAAAGACACATTTACAGAAAACAAAGCATTTCTGATTAAAAATCAAATACAACATATTTTTAAAAGATCATGAGCCCAAACATCCCCCATGGCTTTTGTGAAGGAAACATTTAACAGAGGAGAGAAAGAGGAACCATGATTAAAAACGCAAACAAATTTACAGTAAAAATTAAAAACTTTTTTTCTTTGGTTCTAAAAAGTTTTATTGTATTTATTAACTACCAACTGTATGTATATTCAGGTAAGAGATTTTCCTGAGTTCTTTTGAAACAGGAAGGGACATAAAGATTTTAAGAAACTAACCGGGCACATTTATATTTACAGATATAACAATGATCATAGTTAAAATGCAAAAGCAAGGCATATATTGAGTGCTGAGTGTTTGGGCCTTTTACACCCAGCCCAAAAGCTTTCCACTCTGAGAATCTTACATGAAAGTTCCCAGAACATCCAAGATGCCATAAAACAGTTTCCACCTCTGCCCCAAAACATCCAAGATGCCAGAAAACAGTTTCCACCTCTGCCCCAGCTCACCAGGGTTATGCAGAAAAGCCCAATCTGCAGTGGCTTCTGTTCTTGGGCCCAGTAATGCTTACGCTTTTTCTACAAAAGGCAAGGGAGAAAGGACAGGGAGTAAAGAGGGGGAGTCTGCTTCCCAGTTCCAATATATCAATACCCCCACAGGACTCCAGGCCTTGCAGGTGGAAAGCACAGGCAGCTACAGCTCTAATGAAGGCCAGAGCCTCGTCAATTTAAACACAGAGACTCAATGTCAACTTGAGTTTCTGACTATGCAGAAGAAAGACAGTCCAGAATATTCTCCTGTAAGCTACAAAAAAAATGGACAAAATATGAGCTAGTATTTCCAGACATTGGACCACAGGCATTGCAGGACTATGATCACTGAACAAAGAGAAAGACATGAGTCAAATCCTATGACCACCCCCAGCTTATTGCCAAGAGGCAGTCACTAGGCTGCAGGACCCAGAGAGTCCAATGATCCCCACTGAGTTGATGGGAGGCCAAGGCAGCTAGAATTTTAAGGGCAGAGTCCTGGAAAGAAAGAGCTATGCAAACAAAAGCAAAAAACTCCAGAAGTCTACATAGAGGTCCCTCTGAGTCTTTAGCTGAATAATAATCTGAGCACACAAAATGTGAAACGCCACAAGGCAAGGCAAGAATAACTTTCCATCAAAGAATAATAACTAGAGACCTGGAAGATGAACATTTCCTAGAGCTCGCAATGGGGCAGAATTTTCTCTCCAATCAGAGTGGAAAGACCTGATTGATTATTGGGAATATTCAGTAGAGAACCCAGAAGAACCACATATTAGAAGTAAAACAAAATTAGTTCTAGAATAAAGGCTACTCTAGACCTGTCCTACAAAAGCTTAAACCTTAAAATGAGCAAACATCCAAAAGTTGCTTAACTGCTTCCAAGAAAAGGGTCCAACACTCTTTGAAGGAAGACAACAAAATCCAGCACGCACTTGTGTAAAATTTAAAATATCAAACATCCAGTAAAAATTTACTAGACACAAATAAGCAAAAAAAAAAAAAAAAAAGTGACACATAAGCAGGAGAAAAATCAGTAGAAAAAGACCCAATAGAGATGAGGAAAGAAGCAGATAAAGACCTTAAAACAGCTTTCATTAATAATATTCACTATCTAATATCAGATTGGACACCAGAAGAAAAGATCAGTGAACATGAAGACATAACAATAGAAACTATTCAAAATGAAAAAGACTGAGAAAAAAATGAACAGAGATAATCAGTTACATGTGAAAATATATCAAGTGGTCTAATGCATGTGTCCAGAAGAAGAGAGAGGGGAGAACAGAAACTATATGAAGAAATAATAGCTGGAATTTTTTTCAAATTTGATGAAACTATGAACCCACAGATCCAAGAAGGCCAGTGAACCATAGGGAGAATAAACATAAAGAAAGCCACACCAAAGCAGATGATCAATTGCTAAAAAAAAGAGTGATAAAGAAAAAATCTTAATAGCATCACATAAAACAAGACACATTACATACTAAGTGTGAGCAAACAGGACAAGAATAACAGCATAATTTGTCAGAAATTACAAGCCAGGGGATAATGGTTTGACATCCTAAAAAGTCTGAAATAATAAAAAAAAAAACTTTCAGACAAAAGCTGAGAATTTATTAAAAGAAAACCTGCACTATGAGAACTATTAAAGTAAGCTCTTCACACAAAAGGAACATGATACTCAATGGAATATGGGTCTATACAAAAGAATAAAGAGTAAAGAAAAGGTAAAAATGTGGCTAAATATAAAATATATTTCTCATTTTTAACATCTGTAAAAATGATCTAGCAAATTTTACCACACAAGGAAAAATTAATAGCAATATTTCACAAACTTTTCCAAAAAAGTAGAGAAGACGGAACATTTCCCAGCATATTATGAGGCCAATTACTCTAATACCAAAACCAGACATAGTGATCACAAGAAAACTACTAACAACTGTCTCCTGAATATAGACAAAAAAATCCTCAACAAAATACTAGTGAAGGATTATACAATATGACCAAGTGGGGTTACCCCCAGGAATGGAAAGTTGGTTCAATATATAAAAATCAATGTCATATACCATATTAATAGAAAATAAAACAAAAACACATGATCATCTGAATAGATGCAAAAAAAAATTTGGGGACAGAATCCAACACCCTTTTATGATTAAAACACTAAAGAAACTAGAAATAGAAAGGAAATTCCTCATCCTGATTAAAAAACCCACATGTACAAAAAAAAAAAAATACAGCTAATTTAATAATAGTGAAAGACTGAATGATTTGCTCTGAAGATCAGGAACAAGACAAGGGTGTTTGCACTTTCCAATTCTGTTGAACTTTTTACTGGAAGTTCTAGCCAGTGCAATTAGGAAAAAAAAATGAAGGAAGGAAGGAAAAGATGGAAGAGAGAAAGGAAGATAGCAAGGGTGGGAGGGAGGAAATCCAGACAGGAAAGGAAGAAGCAAAACTATCTCAATTTGCAGACAACATGATGTTATACATAGAAAACCTTAAAGAATACACACACACATAAGCACACAATTAGAGCTAATAAACGTGTTAAACAAAGTTGCAGGATATGAGGTCAATATGGAAAAATCAATTGTATTCCTATTAGAGAAAACTATTCGGTTTGCAATAAGCAACCTGAAAATGAAATTAAGAAAACCACTGTATTTACAACAACATCAAAAAGTATAAACTACTTAGGAATTTAACAAAAGTGCAAGGCTTCTAAACTAGACACTATAAGACATTACTAAAAGAAATTAAAGAGGACCTAGATAAATGGAAATACATTCATGTTCATGGATTGGGATACAGTATTGTTAAGATGGCAATACTTTCCAAATTGATAGATTCAATACAGTCTTTATCAAAACCACAGAAGGCATTATGAAGATACTGGCAAGTTGATAATATTAACATCAATAAGTTAACATTAATAGATGTGTCGTGGATACCCAAGACCACCTCAGGTTTGATGATTCACTAGGACTCAGAGGACTCAACATAAAGGTGTACTCACGGCTATGATTTATTACAGTGAAAAGATACAGAATAAAATCAGCAAAGTTAAAAGGCACATGGGGTGAAGTCTATGGAAAACAAGTTGCCAGCTTCCATGGGTCCTCTTCCAATGGAGCCACACAGGATGTACTTAATTGCCCCAGCAATAAGTTGTGACACACCTGTGAAACGTCCACAGGAAGCTTATTAGGGGCTCAGTACCCAGAGTTCTTGCTGAGGTACTTTATGTGATATATAGGCACCCTCTGATTAGCAAAACTTGTACCAAAGCAAAAAATGTACCAAAACTTTGGACTCCCAGAAGGAAAGCAACTGTTTACATAAACTATATTGCTCATATAAACAGGTTAGGCACAGTGAGCCTCTCTTATTAGAAATCCAATTTCCAGCCACAAGCCAACTTTGCAGGAAGGCCTTTTTAAACATAAGCAGTTATGACTGCTTTGTGAACTCTTTTTTTGTACAGTAAGTGACTTAGAATAGGCAAAACAATCTTGAAAAAGAAGAACACAATTGGAGGACTCACATTTCCTGATTTCAAAACCTACTATAAAGCTACAATAATCAAAACCATGCAGTACTGCCACGAAAATAGACATATCAGTCAATGGCACAGAATTGAGAGTCCAGAAATAAGTCGTTACATTTATTGTCAATTGATTTTCAACAAAGATACCAAGATCATTCGATGGGGAAAGCATAGTCTTTTCAACAGATGGTGCTGGGACAACTGGATATCTATATGCAAAAGAATGAATTTGGACCCCTACTCATACAATGCACAAAAATTAATTCAAAATGAACCACAGACCTAAATATAAGAGATAAAATTTTTAAATACTTAGGAGACACATAGGAGTAAATCTTTGTGACCTTTGGTTGGACAATTATTTCTCAGATACAACAACAAAAGCATAAGCAAAACAATAGATAGACTGGAATTCCTCAAAATTAGAAAGTGTGTTTCAAAAGACACTATCAAGAAAATTGGAAGACAATCCACAGAAAAGGAAAAATATTTGTAAATCAAATACTGATAAATGACTTGTATCCAGAACTCTTGCAACTCAATAATAAAAAGACAAATAACCCATTTAAAAAATTAGCACAGGATCTGAACAGATATTTGTCCAAAGAAGACATACAAATCCAAAAATAAGAACATGAAAGACTACAAGGAGATACCACTTCCCACAAATTAGGATGGCTAATAAAAACAAAAACAGAAAATAACAAGTGAAATGGTACAACCACTGTGGAAAACAAACAAACAAAAAAATTAAACACACACTTGCCATATGATCCAGCAATTCTACTTCTAGGTATATACCCAAAAGAAATGAAAACAAGGAATTAAAGCAGATACTTATATGACAATATTCATAGCAGCATTATTTATAATAGCCAAAAGGTGGAAACAATCCAAATGTACAACAGATGAAAGGATAAACAAAATAGGGTATATACATACAATGGAATAGTTTCAGCCTTAAAAAAGAATGAGGTCCGATACATGCTACAACACGGATGAACCTGGAAAACATAAGTGGAATAAGCCAGACACAAAAAGACAAGTATTTTATGATTTAACTTAGATGAAGTACCTTGAACAGATAAATTAATAGAAACAGAAAGCAGAATAAAGGGTACCAGGAGCTTGGGGAAGGGGAAAAGAGAGTAAATGTCAAATGGGTACAGAGTTTCTATTTGGGATGGTGAATAAGATCTAGAAATTGATAGTAATGATGGCTGTACAACATTGTGAATGTATTTAATATCTTTGAATTGTACAACTGAAGTGGTTAAAATTTTATGTAATGTATATTTTACCAATTTTTTTTTTTACTATTTTTTAAAAAGATGATTAAAAACTACTTCACACCCAGTAGGATGGCTATAATAAAAAAGACAGACAATAACAAGTGTTGGTGAAGATGTGAAGTAACTGGTACCCTTAAACATTGCTGGTTGAAATGTAAAATGATGTAGCCACTATGGAAAACAGTTTGACAGTTCTTCAAAATGTTAAAAATAGAGTTACCAAAATGACCCAGCAATTTCACTTCTAGGTATATACCCAAGAGAAATGAAAACATATTTCTACGTAAAAACTTGCACACAAATAGCAGCAGTATTCATAATAGCCAAAAAAGCGGAAACAGCTCAAATTCTACAAATTGATTAATGGATAAATGCGGTAGATCCATTCAGTTGAATACATTATTCAGCAATAAACCAAGTGAAGTATTGCTACATGCTACAATATGCATGAACTTTAAAAACATTACAGTACATGAAAGAAGCCAATCACAAAAGAGAACACAGTATATGATTCCATTTATATGAAAAGTCCAGAGTAGGCAAATCAATAGAGACCAAAAATAGATGAGGGGTTGCTTATGGTGGAGGTTGGTGGGAAATGAATGGGGAGGGACTGCTAATGGATACAGGGTTCCTTTATAGGGTGATAAAAATGTTCTAAAATTTATTGTGATGGTTGCATAACTCAGGAATACATTAAAAATAACTGAATTGCACTTTAAATGGATGAATTGTATTTCAATAAATCTTTTTTTTAAAGAAAATCTATAGCAAAAATAGCAGTGTATTATAGAATACATTACATATTTAGAATTAAAACCTATGACAATAGCATAAAGCATGGAAAGGGAAAATCAAAATATGCTTTGTTAAGTTCTCACATTTTACATGAAATGGTATAATATTATTTGAATGTAGACTATGGTAAGTTAAAGATTTTTTGCAAACTCTAAAGATACCACTAAGTACATAGTACAGATATAAATAATAAGTGAATAACGATTATGAAGTAGATTCATAAAAATTCTCAATCTAAAAGAAGACAGAAATAAAGAGTGGAACAAAGAACAGACGAAACAAATAGAAAACAAATAGCAAGATGGTAGATTTAGATCCGACGTTGCCAATTACATTAAAGACTAAATATGCCAATTAAAGGCAGAAATCGTCAGAGTGGGTATAAAAGAAAGTCCCTACAATATGCCACCTACAAGAAATACACACTAAAAATAAAGATGAACATAGCTTTGAAAGTAAAAGAACGGGAAAGTATTGTTTTTTATTACGCACACTCTAAAGAAATTTAAATGGCTATATTAACATCAAAGTACATTTTAGAAAAAGGAATAATACCAGCGATAAAGAGGGACATTACATATTGAAAAAGAGATTGACTCATCTCATCAGAAAGACATAATCTTAACTGTATATTATAGTTATTCAAATATAGAATTTTAAAATTCCTGAAGCAAAAACTTAAATGAAAAAATAGATAAATCTTAGAGTTGGAGATTCCAGCACTCCCCTTTCAGAGGAAACAGCCAAGGAACAGACCCTGAGGCTGAGCAGTCTCTGGCATGTCTGAGGAACAGCAAAGGCCTGAGTGGTTAGAGTGGAGCAAGTAAAGAGGAGAGAGATGGAAAGAGAGATGAGAGCTAACAGGGAAGCCACAGTATACAGGGCCTTACAGTCTGAGGTGGGGAATGAGGAGGGAAGACCAGCAGGAGAGGGGCTGCCAACACTGGAAAGATGAGTCGTATGAATAAAAGGGGGAAATCAACAATTAATGAGAGTAATAGTGGGCTTTCAACAGAGCTACAGTGTGGTCCTTGAGTCCTGGGATCAGAGAAGAGCTAGCAAGATTTCTCTTGCCTCCCCCTACGCAAGGACATGCATTCTGGGGGCTACGACACCTACCCTCCCATTTTCCATTTCTCAACATGCCATCAGGATCACCTAGACAAGAGGGATAACCAAAGAGGAAGGTGATTTAGGTTAAGGGCTGGGAAAACAGAGCCAAGGGTGGGCCTCACTTCACCCACCCCCAAAGCTGACCTAGACCTCAAACTCCCAGACCAGGTGCCAGAAGTCTAGCAAGGTGTGAGGCAGGGGTCCCTGTGTGGCGATGTAGGTCTGGCTTCCATCTATGCCCTGGTAGAGGCTAAGTTCACTACCAAGATCCCGCTGTTACCCCACCATGACCTCCCCTTCCCTGACTCCTGGCCAACCTTAATGAAGTTGCCATTGATGTAGTCACCTTGTCCCTCTTGGAGCAGGGAGAATATCACTTGTGTCTGATCATCTGCCATCGGGAGAGGTGAGAAATGTGGAATTTGGAGTTGACAGGAGCATGGGGTGTGGGGGCAGTGCACCCAGCAGGGACACCACCAAGGTGCTCTGGTGGGCTACACCCCAGCCAGGCTTGGGGAGGGAGCACCTAGGGGGTGGTGGTGACAAGGTCTGTGGGGTGGGGGTGGGGGGAACAGAGTTGCTCCCCCCAGAAGCCCTGACTTATACAGCAGTATTTCTTTGTAGCGGTTCTTCTTGAGGTTTTCTGATTGACTACCAGCCTCAGTGGAGCACATGCTGCCACCCTTCCAGGCGGCTGAGCGAGTCCTGATATCCTGGTCCAAGGCACCGTGAGCACCAGGAAGGAGAGGAGGAGAGGATCCAGGTCAGATTTCTCACAGGGATACAAAGCCATGGCCTGTGAGAGGCGAATGCAGGCTCCAGATAGCACAGAGCCGGGCTCACTGTAATGATATGATAATAACAACAACTCAGAGTACCTTCCTTGTGCCAGGCTCTGTGCTAAGAGTGCTGAAACATCACAAGGTCCCTCCGAAGTGGGTACTATTATTGACGTGGCAGTGTGCAGGTGAGAAAGCTGAGCCACCACATGCTTGAGTGACTTCTCCAAAGTCTGACCCCGGACGTGGCACAGGGTTGAACTCAGACCTCTCAGCATCTACCCGCTATAGACTCAATTGATGTTACACTGTAAACAGTGATTGTGATATATTATGTATTTAATATAACAAACAAGATACGAGATATGTGACAATATACAATGTTGTGAATTAATGTATAACATTCATGTAATGAGATACTGTAGGAACTTTTTACTGTTAAGATTATTATAATTAGCGAATAGCATATTACCATCATCAACAGGTATTCATAGTCATGATGATAATAAGAGCTACTAAGCCACCAGTGGGTGCTAGCCACCATTCTAAGTGCTTTACTTAATGCCCATCAGGTCATTTAAGCCCTGGTGGACATCCTAGTATAATTGGTACCATGATTGATATTTCTATTACACAGATGAGGAAACCAAGGCCTAGAGAGGCCCAAAGATCCCTCTGAGTGATGGAGGTTGGCATGCAGAAGGCTGGCCCTGCTCACTGCCTACACTCCCATATAGCGGATCCTCAGCATTGCTCACTGCCCCAGACTGGATGGAAACCTGGATGGGCATGACACCTGGTGGTGTTATACATTTATATCTAGTATGCACATTTTCATATTGAATAAATTTTATATTTTGTACTTATTGTACATTTCTCATATACAATATCTATTTTTAAATTTGTGTAAACTATTTAGATTTATTTAAAACTTTATCACATATTTTATATTTACTTAGGAACTTATTGAATAACTTATTTTATAAATTATAGTTATATATGTCATATTTATGTCTATTCTATAGTTTTATAGTTTGTAAATTATAACATATTTTTATATAATCACTATATATTTATATTAAAATTTGATAAATTTGGTTACCTATTTTTATTGTACCTAATGATTAATCATTTATTATACATTTATATATACTTATATATATGTTCATCAAACTTTTTATTGTACATCACGTTTCTAAATTTGATATGTACGCTAACATGTGGTTTACATATTTGCATGTTTCTATATGTTATACAAGTTATATTTACAACATCTAATTTTTTGTAGTAAACGATGCCGACGATGCTAAATTAGCATTCTTAACGCAGGGCTTGCACTACTCCATTGTAATGTTTAGACTATTTATAACTAGATCCTACAAAGTGAGCGCTCAAGATGTGCTTACAGCTTTTACCCACACCAGTTACTTAATCCTCAGGCCAGTTTGGTCTTTAAGGTTCGATTTTTGCCTAAAAAGAAACCGAGGCCAGAGGGGATGAATAATCGCCCCCGGGCCACAAAGTAGATCCGCGCCCGGCGCCCACACACTTGCCTCAGCAAGGCCTCGCGGTTCCTCTTCCCCTGACCACAGGAGTGAGTGACCGCCGGCCGCGCCCACTCAGCCGAGCAGCCCGAAGGGTCCGGGAGCGAGACCCGGGCGCAGGGACTTGAGGGGGCGTGCAGCCCGTCCCACTCGACCGTGGACTTTTTCCTCTAGGGGCCTGAGGGCAGAGGGCGCGGACAGGGATAGAGAGAGACAGAGACGGAAAGAGAGAGCTGGCCGGACGTCCTAGGTCGCCCACTCACGTAGAACTCGCCGGCTAGGACCGCCCCCTCCCGGCCGCCCCGCGCCTCCAACTGCTCTAAGATGCTCCGCGCCGCATCCAAACTGCCGCTCATACTGCAGCTGGCCAGCCGGGTCCTGTGTGGCAGCTGTACTTTGCTCTCCCAGACCTTGCAGACGCTGCTGGAGGTCGAGGCCTCGCCTCCGGTCTCACCAGCCAACCAATGGAAGCGCGCAGCGACCCTGGCCAATGGCATTCTGAGCTGTCCCAGCCCCGCCCACAGATTCCCGGACCCAGAGGGCAGCAAAAGCTCTCGGTCTTCGTAGACTGGGCCGGGCCGGGGAAGTGAGTCCAGGCGCTGGGGCTTCCCTATATTTTATGGTCGCCGCGCTGGCTGAATCTTCACAGTCCCATGAACACTTCCTCTCGCTTGGACCTGGGATCCGCGCCCAGGACCCACTTTCCTTCTAGTGCCTCGGCTGGGTGGATGGCCGTGCGCCCTCTCCCGGCTCCCCCACCGGGTCTCCTGGAAGGTAGGCTGCGTCCGGGTCTGAGCCAGGACGGAGGGGCGGCAACTGTGAGCGGAGATGGCCGCCGAGAAGGAACTGTACACAGCTCCTGCCTCGGGGACCCCGGGTGGGGAACATACCGTGCTGTGCGCTCAGGCATGGTCCAAAGGCAGTTGGAGAGGTAACCGCGGAGGGAAAATGGCACCCGGGCACCCGCTATGTGAGAAAGACCTATTGGAAGCCGATGCTCCTGAATCTGTGTATTTCCTGAGGGTCTTTTTTCTGGGGGTGGGCTAGGAGGAGCTGAGAGTGCCAGGATCCAGTCCAAATTTAACGATCTCAACCTCCGAAAACGTGCGGGGAAACTGAGGCCCTGGAACTATGTTCCAGGGGACAAGGTGTTCTCAACACTTTTAAAGAGCTTCCCTTTTTTTTTTTTTGTCTCCACACCCCCGTCTTCAGAAAATGTGCAGGAAAAGGCCAGAGGACAGCTGCTTCCGGAGTCACCAAGGGGAGGCTGGAAACAGCAGACAGGACCTTAGGGGCGCTGGCCAAGAACTGCCCTGGGTAGGTGAGCTGGCCCAACCCCTCACCCGGGTCACAGAAGGACTTTCGGATGGCGGATGTTATTGGAGAAGGGTGTCTGTGGAGTCCAGTTTGAAGTTCCTGGGGTATGGAAGGGTGACCAATGGGGTGAGGTATAACTTAAGCCATTGAAGGGTCAACAGGGTCATTGGTTCACGTTGTGGATTTAATGAGAGTTATCAGAATGCTGTTTAAGTCAAGGATGAACAAACTTTCTAAAGGGGCTTTGTTCTGTCTCTGTCCCAGCTATTCAGCTCCTCCATCACAAGTGTGGAAGCAGCCATAGGCACTATGTAAAGGAATACATGTGGCTGTGTTTCAATAGAACTTTTTTTGTGGGTACTAAAATTTTAATTTCAGCTAATTTTCATGTTATGAAAAATTCAGTTTTTCTTCTCCGTGGTCTGCAGGCTGTGGTTTGCTTACTCTGGTTTAAGTGACTGAGAGGTCAAAGTGGATCAGTGGGGATGTTTCATTTATTGAGTTATTGGGAATCACTGTGGATTCCGTGTTTATCAGTTTCATCTTTGAGAGTTCAAAGGTGTTCAGTGGTGATCACTAAGGATGTGATCATCAGTGAATTCATCAGAGGCCAAAAGGAGTTCCTTGGATATTCAAGAGGACTGTCCGTGGATGTTAATGGCAGTCACTGGGAGGTCAGGGAGACAGTGAAAGTAACTGAGAGCCCACTGAGATTTGGAGTGTTAGTTTAATTGAGGGAGTCAAGAGAGTCAGAGTTCACCGAGGGCTCTTAATCAGGTCATAATAGTGAATGTCAGTGGAATCACTGAGATTTTGTGGAGAGTCATAGGTTGTTGGAGACTCAGAGATGCAGGATACACATGTATCTGTAAACTTATGAGAAAATATAGAGGTCACTGGAGGAGTCATAGAGACTCCTGCATCTCTGAGTACTCATAGATACTAACGGCAGTCATTCAGGACTAGTGGGTTCCAGAGTAAGTGGGGAAGTCCCTGTGGGAACATGAAAGGTCTTTGTGGACCCTGGTGGTAGATGCCATTGGAGGTCAACAGTCACTGCAAGCTGATGGCATATGGGGACCGAGGCAATATTGAGGAGTCAGTAGGTCATCCATATCATCCATGGTAGTGACTGGGAGGCAGGGAGGCTGACCTGGAAACTGGGGTTTGGCTAGCTGAAGATGTTCTGTCCAACTAGGAGTATAGGGTCTATTTGTCCAACAGGTGGGTGTATTTGTCTGTCTACCTGGCTTGAGGGTCTATTTAGCTGGCTTGAGGGTGTGTCTATTCAGCTGGCTTAAGGGATCTCTATATCCTGCCAAGGGCCTGGCTTTCTCACAATCTGAGGTCTTTCTTACTGGAAGAGGTTAACCTGTCAAGCTAAAGTTCTGGCGGGCTAGCTGACTAGGTAAGTGAGGTGTCTTTCCACTGGGGTAATGTCACTTTGTCTAGTAAGGAGGTGGTGGTCTATCTGTCCATAAGGGATTCTGTCTTGGTGGGATGCATGGGTAGGGGGAACGTTCATGTGTCTAGCCACAGGTCTTTCTAGATATCTGGCTGGGCATCTTTCCATTTGTCCAAGAATATGTCCATTTGTCTTGCTATCTGTCCTGCTAGGAGTCTATTTTTCTCGCAGGACTCTGTCCATCTAGAAGTCTGTCTCTAACTAGGGATCTTTTTTGCCTATCTAGCTGGGATCTTACAGCCTGTCAACATAAGTGGCTGAGGCTATAGCCTACCTGTCAAGCTTCTAGCTACTCTGGATATTTGTCTTTCTGGCTGCATGTCCATCCTCACTTCATGACCCCCATTTGCTGTTTAACCTGCCTGCCCTCCTAACCATCTCTCCACATCTCTTCAAACATTCAAACTCTACTGGCTTGCCTTCCACTCAGTTCAGCCTGGGTATGGGGGATGGGAAGATCCTCAAGACCTCATCTCACCAGCCCCTGCATGCCCCACCTCCCTTCTCCCAGAAGCCTGCAAGCTGTTCTTGGGGACGTGGTGCTGCTGGTGGCCCTCTTGTTCACCCTACTGGCTGCAGTCCCATGCAACAGGAACAGCTCGTATGACCCTGCAGATCTTGAACACCCTGATGCCCATATGCCACATGCCAATTTGCCACCTGCTTGCCTGAATGCTTGCTGAACTGGCCACTCAAGAGAGCCATGTGGAATGGGTGCTGGAATGTATTCAAAGATGCTTTCACAATGCTGTGAGGAACGCAGCCTGCCTTGATGTTGCCAAGGAAAAAATCCTAACTTTACAGTGGAGAAACCTAGAAGATACCACCTTAATCTGAGAAGCTTGTGAAGAGATACTCTGAGACTACTGACGTCCCTACTATACAGTTCCCTGCCTTCCTTTGGTAGGCCAAAAAAAGGCAGAAGAAATTTGAAAAAAAATTCTCCCACTGCTCCACTCTGTTAAGAACCTGCAGGCTGGTTGTAGGCTACTGACCTGTTGGCCCATCCACAAATCTGGCATTCAGCAAATACAAAAAATGTTACTTTCCAGTTACAAAAGGCAGCCTGAGTCCACCTGTGATTGGAGCTGCCTTTGGGAGGGCTTTTGTTATAGTCTCCTATCTCTTCACGGGTTCTGGGTTTCAGTGTTCCGAATGGAAGATTCCCTCCTGGCCCTTTTCTGGAAAAAAGGTCAGCAGCTCAGAGCTGGGTGAAGACAACCCATGAAAAAAGCCACCCTACTCTTTCTTGGTCCTGCTGCCAGCCTCTACCACCCCAGCAATTTGTGGAAGCCAGATTCTACCATCCTTAAGATGTTCATACCAACTCCTCTTCAGGCTGGCCCCACCTCTTCCAAGGTGGAGACAGGGAATCCTCATCACCCAGAGAAAGTTCCAGGTGGGAGCACATGCTTTTGGAGCCAGTGGCAACCCAGCCCTGGCTCTCTGAGCTGATACCTCAGGCTCCTATGAAATCCAGGCAAACGAATAAGCTGCTAGCATCCTGGAGTCTCTGGCCAGGCTGCCCTGTGTCCTGGCTTACAGTATCTACACGCGACTTTAGCCCTATAATCGGGAAACTGAACACAAAATATTTAAAATAATGTATTTGGAATATGTAATACATAAAATATATATTTGGAATAATTTTTTTAGGTGTGATAATGGTGTTTTTATTGTGTCCTTATCTTTGAGATATATATATATGGAAACATTTATGGATGAAATGATATGTCTGGGATTTGCTTCAAAAAAATGAGAGGAGTAGATATAATAAATGGGATGAAGGAAACTATGAAGGAAACTATGAAGGAAGCTATGAAGGAAACAAGGTCAACAGAGGTGGGCTCATGGACTCACACTGTACAGTCTTCTCTGCTTGTATATGTTAAATTTTACACAATTAAAAGATTTAAAACAATCAGGACCGGGAGATCTTTGGAAACATGGAAGAGTGAGAGACATCCCCAGATCTCTCCCCTTGAAACAACAAGCTGAACATCTAAAACTCAACAAAAAACACCCAAATTGCACACTAGCACATTTGAGCGTGGGATCTGCGCATAAAAGCTACCACAGGTCAGAACCCCAGGTGTTGGTCGGTGGACTGAGAGAAATAAAGAAGCTGCCTCTCGCAGCAGCTGGAGCTCCCTACAGGAGGAGGGGGAGGGAAGAATGAGCAGCAAATTCATGCAGCGAGTTCTCTGAACAGCCCTGCCTGGCCAGCTGGCTGCAGGACTCAGTCATCAAGGCAGAAAGCAGAGAAGCGGCCAGCAGAGAAACAACAGTTCATTTTTACCGACCGTGGTTGCAAAACCGAGGCTGAGCCACAGCCCCCCAAACCCCAACCCAGAGGGCTCCTCCCTCTGAGACCGAACACTGTGAGCCCCAGGGGAATCTGAGCAAACACTACCAAATACCCTCCCTCATACCCTGTGAGACCGAACACTATGAGCCCCAGGGGAATCTGAGCAAACACTACCAAAACTGTTGCTAACACTGACAGGGACTGAAACTGAGGGTAGCAAGCGTGATTAAATACCTATCAGAAAATAAAAAGGCATTTTTAAAGCTTTATATAAAGCAGGGATCCAAGAGGCTTAGACACCACCTACTGGAAAAGCTCCTTCTTTGCAACAGGCTAAAGGACACCTTTATATAATAAATATTCTTTATGGAAAAACAGCAGAATGCATTTCCATTAATGCCTAGGTGGCAAAATAGTCTATTAAACACCATGAACAACCAAGGTGACAAGGCAACTCAGAAAGAAAGAGAAAAATCTCCAGAAAATAAGCTTACAGATATAGAAATATGCAACTTAAATGACAGAGAATTCAAGATGGTACTTCTGAAAAAAAAAAACTCAGTGAGTTCTGAAATGGGTAATATCAATAATTTCAGGAATTGAAAAAACACCTAGATGAGCAGAGCAAGGAGACTGAAACTCTTAGAACAGATCTTCTAGAGATTAAAAAAAAAACACTGCAGAGTTGAAAAATGAAACAGCAAGCTTGGGAAATAGAGTCGACCAAATGGATGAAAAGATCGGTGATATTGAAGACAGAAATCTAAAAATAAATCAGAAGGAAGAAGAGAGAAACTGAAGAATGAAAAATAATGAAAGAGAAAGTCAAGAACTAGCTGATACCATCAGGAAAGGAAACATAAGAATAATGCTCATTACTGAAGGCGAGGAAAAAGAGCAGGGACTAGAAAGCATTTACAGACAAATAACTGACGAGAATTTCCCAAATCTAAGGAATGAGCTGGAGCTTGAAATTCAAGAAGTCAACAGAACACTCAATTATTTCACCCCAAAAGGCCTTCAACAAGACACACTGTATTAAAATTATCAAAAATCAACAACAAAGACAGAATTCTCAGGGTAGCCAGGAAGAAAAAAATGGTAACTTATAACGTTAAACCCATTAGATTATCCTCGGACTTCGTAGCAAAAACCATACAAGCCAGAAAGGAATGGAATCAAATAATTAAACTATTAAGTGAAAGAAACTACCAGCCTAGAATAAGTAACCAGCAAAACTCTCCTTTAGATATGAAGGAGAAATAAAAACTTTTCCAGACATACAAAAATTGAGGGAATTTTCCATGAGGCCTGCACTACAGGAAATACTGAAAGGGGTCAGTTCACCTAAAACAAATTAACAAAAAAAGAAAAAAATACATAATTAGGAGTAAAGTGATTATTGGGCAAATAGAAGCAGAGGAGTGCAAACCTTACTAAGAACAGGGCATTATAAGCTTAAATAAGAACAGAACTGTCATAACAAGATAGTAATGAACGTTCAGCACACATACGGACAAACTGAGATAACAATGACATAGGACATTCTCAAGGACTGACCACATACTAGGACACAGGGATAGCCTCAATAAATATAAGAGGGTTGAAATCATATCATAATGCTCTGAAACTAGAGATCAACTGCAAAAATAAAGTAGGAAGAACCACAAATACATGGAGATTAAAAAACTGCTGAAGAATATCTGGGTCAGAGAAAAAATAAAAAGGGAGATCAAGAGATACATAGAAATGAATGATAATCATAGTACAACATATCACAATTTTTAGGACACGGCAAAAGCGGTCATAAGAGGAAAGTTCATATCATTACAGGCCTATCTCCAAAAACAAGAACGAGCCCAAATAAACAACCTAACACTTCATCTTAAAAAACTAAAAAAGAAGGAACAAATGAAGCCTAAAGTCAGCAGAAGGAAAGAAATCGTCAAAATTAGAGCAGAAATAAATGAAAACAATAGAAAAAATAAATGCAACAAAGAGCTGGTTCTTTCAGAAGGTTAATAAAATTGACAAAGCCCTGGCTAGACTCACTAAAGAAAAAAGCGAAAGGACACAAATAAACAAAATCATGGATGAAAGAGGGGAAATTACTACTGATATCGCAGAAATACAAAGGATCATGCAAGAATACTATGAAAAAGCATATAACACCAAATTTAATACCTAGAAGAAATGAACCAGTACTTAGGAAAAAAACCAACCTTCATAGACTGAATCAAGACGAACTGGAAAATCTAAATAGACTGATCAGCAGTATGGAAATGGAAACAATCATCCAAAACCTACCAAAAAGTAAAAGTCCAGGACCAGATGGCTTCACCAGTAAATTCTACCAAACATTCAAAGAAGATTTAATACCTATTCTCCTCAAACTCTTCCCAAAAATCAAAGAGGACTCATTTTTGAGGCCCATATTACTCTGCTACCAAAACCTGGTAAAGATAACACAAAAAGAAAACTACGGACTAATATCTCTCATGAACAGAGATGCGGAAATCCTAAATAAGATACTAGTGGTCCAAATACAGCAATATATTAAAAGATTATACACCACGATCAAGTGGGCTTCATCTCAAAGGCACAAGGATGGTTTGAAATACACAAATCGATTAATGTGATATGCCACATAAACAAAAAATAAGAATCATATGATCATATCGATAGATGCAGAAAAAGCCTTCAACAAGATACAGCATCCATTTATGATCAAAACACTTAACAAAATCGATACAGAAGGAAAGTACCTTAACGCGGTAAAGGCCATATATGACAAACTCTCAGCCAACATTATACCTTCCCTCTAAGATCAAGAACAAGGCAAGGATGTCCACTATCACTACTGTTATTCAATATAACGTTGGAGGTCCTAGCGGTGCAATCAGACAAGAGAAAGATATAAAAGGCATCCAAATAGGAAACGAAGAAGTCAAACTGTCACTATTTGCGGATGATATGATTCTCTATACAGAAAACCCTGACAACTCCATAAGAGCACTACTAGAAACAATAAGCAAATACAGTAGTCTCCGGACACAAAATCAATGTTTAAAAATCCATAGCGTTACTATACTCTAATAATGAAGCATCAGAAAAAGAAGTGGAAAAAATTGTTTTGTAATTGCAACAAAAAAAATAAAATACCTTGAAATAAATTTAATGAAACGTGTGAAGGACCTATATAATGAAAACTGCAAGACCCTATTAAATGAGATTGAAGAAGATACAAAGAAATAGAAAGATACTTCATGTTCTTGGAAGAATAGAATCAACATAGTTAAAATGACCATATTACCTAAATCATTATACAGATTTAATGCAATCCCCATCAAAATCTCGACATTTTTTAAAGAAACAAAAAATCAAATCATCGGATTTGGACAGAAGCACAAAAGACCCCGAATCGCCACTCCATCCTGAGAAAAAATAACAAGGCTGAAAGAATCACTGTGCCCAACTTCAAATTATATTACAAAGTGACAGTAATCAAAACGGAATGGTATTGGCAGCAAAACAGACACACTGACCAGTGGAACAGAATCGAGAGTCCAGAAGAAAACACATATTTATACGGGAAAATA